TACTTAATAACATATGTATACGTTGTGAAGTGCGAATTCAGGTCACTACAACTTTACGACTAAACCATATAAACATGAAACACACAGTAAAGGCTTCTTGAAAGAATACGTGGAAATTTAATCAAAGATCTGAAAATCCTACTACTACTAGAATCCCCAGGGTATGGATAGATGTTATTTATTAATTATGATTCTTAATTATCTATCTTTCCTTAAGTACATAGAATCGATATGTTTATTTATATTAAAAATTGTGTTGAAACTTTGCTGTTACGATTTAGATCTTACAAGCAATATGACTATTTAGAGTATCGAAGGAATCTATAGCTAACAATGATTGATTTACATTCAATTACATGATTGATTTAGTTTCACCATTTGAATATCAGAGACGTCTTACTGTTGTTCTCAATGGGGTTTCGCCTCGAGCAAAATCCGGATTAGCATTATTAAATGCCTTCACTTTGTCGATCAATACGCATTTAAGGTCCCGTTTTTGAGTCACGTTTTTTTCAGGTCACATTTTCCTGTTTACAACGTACGTATGTATCTACTTACGTCCAAATATAAGTTGTAACTGTCAGGGGAGCTTAGTTAATAAAATTGCGCCACAAATCCAACTATAGTTGACAAAAATAAGAAGGGATTATAGGATAAGTATATGTGTGAGTTCGTTGTGTTTTATTAAATAAAATATTACTAATTCTTATTTTATTTTCTTTAGAATCGGTTTAGAGACATTAGTAGATAAATAGTATGTAGAAACAATGTTAAAAATATAAAAAACTCAGATTTATTAAGATAAGTATTTTGCAATATGATTTATAAAATCTATTACTATAACTAAAACTAATCTAACGTCTGTTCTAATTAGGAATATTTGAAGGAATTATTTCTAATATAATTGTCGTTCAACTTATTTGACTTTAGCACTGGAAAGTATCATTTATACACTTTTCTTTACATTGTTGGTTTAATATTTTTCCTGACAGTTACTAACTTCTTCTGGTCTTTACTCTCTTAGGTGGTTACTAATTCCGATATTGGTTAGTAGCCAACACTAATGGATTGCAACAAATGATAAATCTGAACTTTGAAGTTTTCAGCTGATTCGGCTTACCGTTACTATAATATGCACAAAAATATTTATTTTGGTCATGATAATATTGTATATACTAGTGCAATTGATAAATTCGGCAAATTTGGTAGAATAATAATTTGGGGCTAATTTTACTCTGAGATGCTATTTATTAAAGGCACGTTTTTGATTCGATAAGATCTGATTTGAGTATTTATATTGTAAATATATATATACGCGATGATGATTTTTATTATTATTTATCTAGTTAATATTATTTATATATTTAATAAATATCTAATTAATTTTGTAACTAAATTATTTATTTATCGAATTAGTATTATAATAAGATTATTGATTTATCGAATTAGTATTATAAAAAGATTATTTATTTATTGAATTAGTATCATAATATTATTTAACTATCAGATTAGTATTATAAAAAAATTATTTATTTATTGAATTAATTTCATAATAAAATCAAATTAATATTATTTATTGGATTTTATAAAATACCGCCATGGCGATATATCGCCAGTCCCCATAAATCACGTGATTGTAAATACGGTATCATCATATGATAATGCGTGTATATCATCATGGGGTTGTATGTTGCTTCGGGCTAACATATTGTCTTGAGGTAACATATTCATTGGAGGCAATTCGTCGTCTTGGAATAGCATATCATCATTGGGTAATATATCATCATCGGGTAATGTATCATCATCTTGGAACTGCGTATCGTCTTGAGATAGTGTATTTTCTTGAATTAAAGAGGCATTTGGAATTCTTTCATTCACAGTATTATGTTGATTTGATATATAGTTAATTGCGGGTTTGTTTAAAACTAAAAGAAAAAGATTTTCTGGTAGGTCTTCAAATTGATTATTGTATTTCTCAGTAAATCGCAGAAATGGATAATATTCTTGACGCTGAATCTAAAAATATTTAAATTATTAAATATAAATGTGATAAATTAACAAATAAAATATACCTTCTTAAAGAATCCAATGGGAATCGAATTTATTTGCTGAACTAAATGTTTGCAGATAAAAAATCTGCTAAACAAGAAACTAAAACATGTGCATATCCAGTGTCTTGTATCGGTAATTCGTTGAGGATTGGAGTTAACTACTTTTTTATTAAGTTGATTCCATTCTGTTTTAAGGTCGTCACGCCAAGATGCCACAATTCTACCATCTCATAGTTGCTGCAGTCGATCCACCTGTCTGGGTATCACTCGTGCTACAATAACGTGAACTAATAAATCAAGGCGTACACGATTGTATTCTGAAAGATGATCATGTTTGATCACCCTCCAATGACTCTCAATTGTCATGGAGGATCGTAAGATATTAACATGCTTCGTTGCTGAATGAGCCCATAATTTTCAGTGCTCTGGTTAGTACCACTCATTCCACATATAAGCCCAAATGTGAGGTAAATTGTTAATTTTACAATAATTATGCAATTCTTTAACACTGTATTGCCAAATTTCTTGCGAATTTCTTAATTTAGGTCGAGTTTCAGTCGGAATTAATAGATGTGAAAAGAAATGAATTCGAACTAGTTGAATAATATGCTCGCGAAAATCCTTCTGACAAAATAATTGATACTTATCCACACTCTCAACAACACCATTATTTAAGAAGATCTTATTAAGTATATCTTTATTTCTCAATACGGGTTGCCAAATTGGATCAATCTCTGAACAAATCATGTGTGCTTCATATGCATTGTATGGTGAATAAATGATTCCAGAACTAGAAAGTTTTTTTTTTATGGCCCGAAGAGCATGCCAATAACATAACTGAATACGTGCATGAGGCCAGATCGTTTGAGCTGATGTTACTTGTGAAAAATCTTTATCGCTTAAAAAAGTATGAACGTGAGAAAAGCCTTGTTCTCTAATTAAATAAAACCAATTCATTATAATTGCCGAACGCTTTTCTTCTTGGTCGGGTTTTAATAACAGATATGTTATAGGGAATCCAATCCCGTCTATAATTCCAAGAATAGCATAAAGTTCATACTTTAGTCGATTTGTATTGTAAGTGGCATCTACGACGATTGTATTAATTCGATCTTTTGGAAAAATATCAATTAAAGGAGTTGTAAAAGCAATTATTGTAGGTTGCTGAATAATTATGTTAAAATTAGATTGTTGGGAAAGGTATTTGATTGTTGATTCTACTTGATCCTCGGCCATTTTATACTCATCAACCCCTAAACGTTTACACCAGTAGTAGATTTGCTGTTGCGTAGCGTGAATATATTCATTAAGACCTGAAACTTTTATATTATGATAAATTTGAGGAACGGTAAGAAGTTCATTTTGTTGAATGTATTCTTTAATTTCAGGAGAACTGCAGTTGAATAAGGGCATGTATGTGTTAGATGATGAATGCGAATATAAACCAATTCATGAGATGGTTTTATGTTAATAAGAATTGATCCTTCACATTCATATCGTGGCAATCGAGGTTCAGTATTTCGTCGTTTCGCAATATCATTAATTCGAGCTTTTTTGATTTGTCTTTCTATTTTACAGTTACAATAAAAAACAAATGAAAACCTATTTTTCAGCTTATCACATGTATAGTAAACGTATACGAATCCATCAGCCTTTGACACAAGTTTTACAATTCGATAAGCGATAAGTTTATTCAATTCATCTTCGTTACTTGTTTCAATGCGATCGATAAAAGAATTAAGAAAAACAGCGATATCTATATTTAAAAATTGTGAGCATGGCTCTGCATTGTCAAAATCCTCATAAGGATCCAGAAAGTCTAATAAGATGTCGGTAAGTTGATCTTGGGTATAAGCGAGATTTTGGTGTTGTTTAATTTCTTCTTCAATATTTTCTTTTGCCTTATTATGGCTTTTGTTACTAATCGAAGTTCTACACATGTTGCACGATGAAACAGTTTTTTCATTTTTTCCAGTAAAGTTTTTCTTCGTGTAATGACTTCTGCAGCGATCGCATTTTTTCTTTTTGTGATCAGTATCAGTCATGTTTGTAAGTTAAATAAAAAAAAAATAAGTGCACAAGAAAGAAAAAGAATGCGAAAAAAGAAAAAAAGCGTACAAGAAAAAAGCGCACAAGAAAAAAAGAGACACAAAAAACCCAATCAATCTTTATATATCATTTTATTCAATGATTAATTTAATGATTAATGTTAAAAAATGCATTGATTAATTTAATGAACACCCAATTTGATCACATGATTTGCGAAATTTTTTTGACTGGTGATGCTAGTCTCATACTATATATGGCCGTATAACGTATTCAAATTTTGGCCTGAATTAAGCTTAATTCGGGCCAGTGTAATTAACCTTTTCT